ATTATTACCATCACAATATGTCAACGACAGAGGCCATCTCCCTGGCCCTACACCCATTCCTGGAACATCTTGATATCAAGAACACTTACGAGTATCCTATTTATTGACTTTTACTCCACCTTTAACATCATAATTCCAATAAAATTCAGCTCTAAACTCCGAGACCAAGGATTCTGTTCCTCAATCTGTGACTGGATCCTCAATTACCCGCCTTGCAGATCACAATCAGTAAGGATAGGCAACAACACCTTCTCCAATGATAATCCTTCACACCAGTGCCCTGCAAGGCTGCGTACTCAGTCCCTTACTATACTCCTTATATACTCACAACTGTGTGGCCAAATTCAGCTTTAATTCCATTTACGAATTTGCTCATCTCACCACAATAGTGGTTGGATCTCAAACAACATCGAGACAGTACAGGAGAGAGATAGACAGCTTAATGGCATGGTGTACAGACAACACTCTCTCCCTCAATGTCAGCAAAATGAAGCAGGTGATCATCAACTTCAGGAAGCAGAGTGGAGGACATGCCCTTTCTGTATCAATGGTGCTGAGGTAGAGGTGGTCAAGAGCTTTGAAGTTCCTAGGAATAAGTATCACCAACAATCTATCCATCCACATCAATGCTACAGTCAAGAAAGGACACCAACACCTCAACTTCCTCAGAAGGCTAAGGAAATTCAGGATGTCCCAATAACTCTTACCAATTTTTATAGATGCACTATAGAAAGCATCCTATCTGGATGCATCACAACTGCTCTGCCCAAGACCACAAGAAATTACAGAGTGTTGTCCATCACGAAAACTAGCCTTCCTTCCATTGACTCTGTCTACACTTTCTGCTGCCTCAGGAAACCAACCTGATAATCAAGAAACCTCCCATTCCGGTTATAATTTCTTCCATCCTCTTCCATCAGGCAGAAGATACAAAAATTTGAAAACACGTACCAACAGACTTAAGAATAGCTTCTTCCCTGCTGTAATCAGACTTTTGAATGAACCTCTCATATTTATTCCATTTGATCTTTCTGCGTACCTTCTCTGTTGCTGTAACACTATATTCTGCACTCTGTACTAATGTAAGGCATGATTTGTCTGGTTTGTAGGCAAGAACAATATTTTCATTGTATCTTGGTACATGTGACAATAACAAATCAAATCAAATTTGAATGGCAATAGATTGGGAAAGACTGAGTTTGATGAGACCTGGGTGTCCTTGTACACCAATCACTGAAAGTAAGCAAGAAAGTGCAGCAGGTCATACAGTCATGCAGCATAGAAAGAGGCCCTTCGGCCCATCATATCTATACTTACCTACAAGTACCAAACTAAACTAATCCCATTTACCGGCGTTTGGTCCATAGCCTGCTAGGGCCTGGCATTTTAAGTGCTTTTTCAGATGGTTCTTAAACGTTGTGAGAATACCTGTGTCCACCACGCTCTCAGGCAGCACGTTTCATATTTCTACTAGCACCTGGGTGAAAAATATTTTTCTCAGATGAAATAAGAAAATGGTATGTTGGTCTTCATAGTGAAAGGATTCAAATAAAGCAGCAGTTGTACAGGGCCTTGCTGAGACCACACCTGGTGTATTGTGTGCAGTTTTGGTCTTATCTGAGGAAGGATGTTCTTTATATGGAGGGACTGCAACTAAGGTTTACCAGACTGATTCCTGGGATGGCAGGACTGATGTATGAAGAGAGACTGGATTGGTTAAGACTATATTCACTGAAGTTTAGAAGAATGAGGGGGCACCTCAAAGAAACCTATGAAATTCTAGCAGGAAAAACAGGGAAATTCTAGGAAGGATGTTCCCAGTAACCAGGGAGTCCACACCAGGGGTCACAGTTTAATGATACGGGGTAGGCCATGTAGGACTGAGAGGAGGAGAAATTTCTTCACCCAGAGTGGTGAGTCTGTATAATTCTCTGCTACCAATGCTTCCAAGAAGGAGTTAGAAATAACTCTTAGGGCTAAAGAGTATGGGGAGAAAAGCATGAACAAGGTACTGAATCAGTTGATCAGCCATGATCATACTGAATAACAGAGCAGGTTCAAAGAGCTGAATGGCCAACTCCTATTCCAGCTATGTGCATGTAGCCTTGAGAGAATTTTATACATTTCAGTGAGATTCCCCTCATTATTTTAAACTCCAGTGAATAACCCTAGTGGACCTAATCTCTCCTCATATGACAATCCTGCCATTCCAGAATCAGTTTGCGTCTACATGGATGACAAGTGACAAGGCAATTGGACTTGAATAGTCATGCTTGAAGAGTTTACAGTCTTGGTTCACAGATGAATAATCATTCGAGGGTTGCCTTGGTAATGCCAGTGAGAGAAGAGGGAAAGTAGACAACCTACAATTATTGTTCAATTTATAACAGCAAGCCCTAAATAGTAAAAAAAAATTGAAAAACAGAGCACATTATGTCTAACAGATAATATTATCTATTGATTTAATGGCATGCTTTTTCATATTGAACAATGAATTCAAAATATCTTGGTGCATATAGTCTCCCTGTTCAAGTTAACTCGAACTGAAAAATTATAAATTGATGCATGAAGCATAAACTATGCTCAACTTTAATTACAATAATAAATTCTGAATATAACTGACTTCTTACTTTATTTATCACTTACGGATATTTGGATATATTCTATATACAGTGTATATATATATATATATATAAATATATAAAGTATTTTGTTCTGAGGAAGGGTCACTGTACCTGAAATGTTAACACTGTTTTTTCCTTCACAGATGCTGCCAGACCTGCTGAGCTTTTCCAGCAACTTTGTTTTTGTTCCTGATTTACAGCATCCGCAGTCCTTTCAGTTTTTAGTTCATTCATCGTAATCTGATAAGCCAATCAGGGTATCCTGGCCATGTTCCGCAGGTGTTCTCTACAGATGTTGGTACATTATGGTTCATAGAATCTTACAGTACAGAAGAGGCCCTTAGCCCATCAAGTCTGCACTGCCAAAGCTACGCTAAATCTAGTCCCACCTTCCAGTACAAGGCCCATAGCATTGATGATTGTCCAAGGAAAGGATTCCTAAGTTGCTCACATGTTCTCTGATGCCCATCAGGCATTCTGCTTCACAACTTACAATCTCAAAAATCTTACTGTTCCAATTGCCAATGTGAATTTGTAGCGCTCGCCAAACTATTCACTGTGGAAATAATCCACATTTGCTGGAAGAATTTTCTTCATTTTATGAATGCACCATTACACCATTAAACTAGCAGTGCATTCCTGAAAGTGTGTTTGTCACACAAACTGGTGAGAAAGATCCAGAGCCATTCATTATTTTATTCAGTGATGTAAATTTCATTGAAATACTTCACTGTTGAAATAACTCCACAGAGACTAGTATACCATCACCAAGTCACCTTTTATTTACAGGAACAGTCCTTGATTTTAGTACTGCCTCTTAAAAGTCAACTTCCAGAGCATCAATATCTCTGACATTCCCTTTTCAGCTGTTAACCAGGGGTCCCTGATTGGACCAGAGTAACAACCCCACTGAGAGAGGTCATATTCTATGAGTTTCAGTTGGCAAACCTCATGTCACTACAGCTTGAACTTTTGAATTACCCAGGGGGATAATTGGAGATATTGAGAGGATTTTACCTTCCACACAATCCCTCAGAATGGGTGGGGGTGGGGTAACGTTTGAATGAGTATTTTTTTTAAGAAACACAGTGGAAACAGTGCTCCTTATCGTAGGTGTGCTCAGAGGTGGCTGACTAACTTGGTCTTCAAAGACAATGACGTGAATTTCAATACTGTAGTGAGTTCATATGCCACAGCTTTTGTCTCTATTTTACAATTTAAACTCTTTGGCTGTGTTTACTGCACCCTTGGCAATTTGAGGGAGGCGCAAACAACATAAAACCTATAAATGCACTTTCAGCCTGTGGGCCATGAGGATCAGGAGCTGTGTCCTGATGTTTGCTTGCATCTCTGATATTAAAACCGTCCCTGTTGCTCACCCTCCCCTTCCCAACCCGCCTCCTGACACCCTGTTAGAAAGTGCATGGTTGTTGGGACAAGGCTACATTTAGACTTGGTGAGGATCGATGATCTATAAACAGTCGCGTTCCAAACTCACACCAGGAATGACTGCACAGGATGGCTGAACATAATCAAGACTTTTTTTTCAATTTACACAATAAATATGTCGATGTAGTCAGAACATGTTACTTTGTACTTATATCGTTGTCAATCCCATGTGGTATGAGATAGTCCTCCACTTATGCTCTTCCATAATTAGCAAATATTGCTCTTGCTCCCATCCAACATTCCATTATTTGTAATTCAATCATTGATAATGATGAAAGGATTAAATGCCAACATTTCCAGTCACAAGTTTTGTCAGCAAAGCCTGATGCTTGGCACAAGCAGTATCATTAAAGTTTGCATTTTCTGTTAACAAAGTTCCAAGGTTTAGTTTATTCCCTGGGCACAGTTACAAAGGCATTCCCCATTTCATAGTTATGCAATCTTAATTGATAGCTTGGAGTGACAAAGCTTGTGATAGGCACAAGACCTCTGTTAACCTTTGGCTTGGTAAAAGACTCATTGTCTGTCTGTCCCTCATTAATTATTTTCTGGGAAAATTCCAGCTTTGAACATTCCCCACTGCTTCCGTGCAGATATTCTCCACGCTTTAGTTTAAAGGGGAATTAGTTCCTTTGCCCATTAGTCGCCATTTACTCCAAGATTATTATTAATATCTTGCAGAAACGGTAAGAGATTTTTTTAAAAAAATGAAAAGTTCTCATAATGCAGAACAGAGATCTAACATTTCTGCAGTGGCGAACTTTCTAAAGGTAATGTCAAATTGGAATACAGTACTGTGATTAGCACTTATTGAAGTCTTGCTTCATGACCGCTGAGATCTCATGTTTTGTTTTGTCTGCTGCCACCAGTCTTTGCGAATTGAAAAGGACGCTTGAGAGGGCGACTGAAGACGTTGCTGAGGTTTGAGTGAACGCACATGATCTTCATCCCGTGATCCCAAGGGCCAAGCGCTTCAAGATCCCTCTATCTCTCTTTCTTTTTTACCGCCTGCCTGCTCTTAGTCTTCAGCTATGGCTTCCCCCCGCTTGGAAACTTTTTGCTGCCCCACTAGGGATGCGGCTACGGATTTTGTGCTGGGCTTCCAGCCTGTCTTCTTTAACGCCATCTGCGTTGCTAGCGCCAGTTTCAGTCTGATTGGCACCCTCGCCCAGGTCTTGCCAAAACGGAGGTTTGGCTACCGCAGGTCCAGTCAGTACCCACTGCAGAAACCTTCCGCCTCTTCCAGGATCCTGCTGATTATCAGTATCTGTGACATTCTAGGCTGTATAGGTGGGTGAGATGAAACTTATTAATTGTTGTCTAAAGTCAACAGAATGTGACTTTCGTGTGGTTGATCTCGGTAATTCTGAATTGCAAACATGTGTTGCTGTTGATTTAGTCATGGTCGTGCAGTCTGTTATATAACAGTTGGAGTCGGGCTTTACAAAAGAGGAAAATACTGGAGTTGCTAGAAATTTGAAACTTAAAAACAGACAACGCTGCCAACTCTGATCCCTAATCTCGACAGATGCCATCAGATGACATGGGATTGATTTTTAACCTAGAAATGGTTTGGATAGGGTGTAGGAATAGGCATAATACAGAATGGGAAGGAATTTGACTTTTCACCCATTCAAACTCGCTCAGCATTCCCTGTTTTCCAAGCCACCCGAATGTGAAGCCACACCATTGTAACTCCTGGTTCTCATTCTTATCCGGCAAGGCTGTGTCTACTCAAAACTGGCAGATAGGAATGGGAATTTGGAAGGAATTTTGACTATGGACTAAGGAAATAGTCTCTGGAATAAAGTTAGTGTTTTCTGGGTGACTGGTGTTAAAAGGAAATGCGGATATTGAGGGGAGAATTCTAAGGTTCCCGTGTGAAGGCATTGGTGACCATTCCTTCTACTCCTAGCTCAGAAGGATTCAAAAGAGGAGTTGAGTAAGAATTTGAATCCTGCCAAAAGGAGAAAGAGCTTGCTGAATCTTTTCATTTATCAGGACAAACACAGGTGTGCCACATTTCATGGCACATTTCATCTCCTGTAGTATACATTTTTGTAAAGGCGCTGCTCAGTTGGCAAGTTGAATCTGATTGGCTGAGATGTTGTCATGGAGAATGCAAAGTCCCCCAGCGCCTGGGTAATTCAAAAAGGGAAAGAGTCTTGAACATATTCCTTATTGTTTGCAGGGAATGGTCGCCTTTGTCAATTCCAACAAGCCGAATTGAGCTACATTACAAGCTGAACTGATTTGTGTGTGTACTCTAGTATTGGTCAATCTGCTGTAAAAGTCTTGACTTCTTGCCAGAAAAATTCTAACTCTTTCTATTTACCATCCACTCACAAGTTAAATTCTCCCTGGTGCAAGCCCACTTGATGTATTCGTAGAATAGCATGTCGTGGAACCATAGAATTGTACAGCATGGAAACAGATCCTTTGGTCCAACTTGTCCATACCAACCAGATATCCTAAAATCTTCTAGTCCCATTTGCCAGCATTTGGCCCATATCTCTCTAAACTCTTTCTATTCATGTACCAAACAGATGCATTTAAAATATTGTACTCATACCAAACCCCACCATTTCCACTGGCAGCTCATTCCATACATGCACCACCCTCTGTGTGAAAAAATTGCCCCTCAGGTCCCTTTTTAAATCCTTCCCTTTTCACCTTAAACCTATGTCCTCTAGTTTTTGACTCCCTGACCCTGGGGAAAAGATCTTAGCTATTCACCCTATCCATACCCTTCTTGATTTTGTAAACTGCTGTAAGGTCACCTCTCAACCTCTGTCACTGCAGGGAAAATAGCCCCAGCCTATTCAGCCTCTCCCTATAGCTCAAACCCTCCAACCCTGGCAACATCCTTTAAATCTTTTCTGAACCCTTCAAGGTTTCACAACATCAGTTGTATAGCAGGAGGACTGGAATTGCATGCAGTATTCCAGAAGTAGCCTAGCCAATGTCCTGTATAGCCACAACATGACCTCCAAACCCTTATACTCAATGCACTGACCAACAAAGGCAAGTATACCAAACAACCTCTTCACTACCCTGTCTATCTGTGACTCCACTTTCAAGGAACTATGAACCTGCACCCCAAGGTCTCTTTGTTTGGGACCACTTCCCAGGACCCTACCATGAGTCCTGTCCTGATTTGCCTTACCAAAACATTGAGGGCAGCTGCTCACTTCTCGTGCCTGAGGACACTAACACTGAAGGTGAGATTTTGTCTATACAGCTTTTGTTTTTTAATGCGGTTAATGACCATTTCCATATAGGTTTTGCATCTAAAGTTTTCTTAAGTACTTTTTGTTCACTTATTGAGTTACTTTTGGAGGTGGAGTTGGAGGACTAGTCTCTGGCCTGGCAAAGAGAGATGCAAGAGGGTGGATTTCAATGTTTTCACAGATGTTGCTCCTGTCTGAGAAATTCTACTTTTACATGACTCGATATGGTAGCTTAAATTGATTGTTAGTGTAGCAATTTGCACAACTTGGGCAGCACAGCCTGAACAGTCTTATTTGGGAATCACATTTAAGTTGTTTGGTCATACAGACCTTCAGTATTGCTGTCAAAGCTTTTTGGTCTTGAACTCAAGTGGACAATCCAGAGGTAAAATACCATGGTAAAAGCAAAATAGCATTTATGCAGTAGAAGGAGGAAGTGCTGACTGGTTAGCAAGTGGACTCTGGTTATGGCATTGCTGTGGAGGAGTTATCAGTTAATGATGACTGACAGTTAACTGTCAAACTTTGCTTATAGTTTAAACAAGGAAGGTTTGATACGTAAAGGCATTCTCGTTCTGAGAAATGAACCAGAGAATGGCCATCATCAATTTTGCTGTGTTGAAACAGTGACTGTTTGTGTGTGTGTTCGTTCTTTTGTTTGCAAAGAACAAGGACCTGTGTATAAAATGTGTAGCTTTGTAGGCAATGCAAATGAGCCATGCTACAAGCCAGACTGATAAATTGGGTGTCAGCATAATTCTTCACACACTTGGAATATGTAGCAAACGTCATCTAATTGTAGGATCGCAGTGAACACCACTCATGTGAATAGGCCTAAAGCTGTCATATTTGGTGCTTAAAAAGTGTCCATTGTGTCTTTTGAAAATAGTGCCCCAGGGCACACGGTTGCTCAGTGAATAGCATTGTTGCCTCAGTGCCAAGAACCCAGGTTCAATTCCAGCCTCGGTGACTGTCTGTGTGGAGTTTGTACCTTCTCCCCATGTCTACGTGGGTTCCCTCTGGGTATTCTGGTTTTCTCCCATAATCCGAAGATGTGCAGGTTAGGTGGATTGGCCATGCTAAATTGCCCATAGTGTCCAGAGACTACATAGGTTAGATGGATTGGCCATGGGAAATGCAGTGTTACAGGGATAGGGTAGTGGGGTGTGGGGGATGAGTCTGGGTGGGATGCTCTTCGGAGAGTTGGTGTGCACTAGATGGGCCAAATGGCCTGTTTCCACACTCTAGGGATTCTAGAAAATAAAAATAAAAATGTGCATTACTTTCAACGTGAGGGTGGAAATGTGGGAGCTATCTGAGCTGGATCGAACTAATGGCCCCTCATGTTCCTTAAAGACTGCTACAGAGAACTGGTAAAGATGAATTGAATTATTTTGTCACTTTCTATAAGTAGAAGTGATTTAAAAAATAATATCCTTCTGTTCCTTTTCCAGGGGAAGCAGTCTGTCCTTACTTGCTCTATCAAACCCCACTTTTTTTTTTAAGACAGCTGTTTTGGTCTCTCCTGTCCACTAAAGAGAGCAATGGCAACTTTACTAATCTCTCTGCATAAGGTCATACATCTCTTTATCATCCCAGTAGACCAGTCCTGGAACTTTCTAAAGTATCCAGAGTTGTACACAAACCTCCAACTAAAGTCTAACCACCGAGTTCTGAGGAAGGGTCACCCGACCCAAAATGTTAACTCTGATTTCTCTTCACAGACCTGCTGAGATTTTCCAACAACTTCTGTTTTTCCTTTTGATTTACAGCATCCACAGTTCTTTTGGTTTTTAGTAAGTCTAACCACTGATATGTGAATATTGAGCAGGACTTCCTAATTTTTGCATTTCATGCTTTTATTTAAGAATTCAAATATTTCATGCTCTCTTCATCATCTAATCAATTTACCCCGTCACCTTTTTGAACATCGATAAATATGCATTCTCGGTTCTCTCTACTTTTGCACCCATCCCCTTGGGCTCCAATTAAAGTAGACAAATTCTGCAGGAATACTTGGAGATCAAACTGAGATAAGCTGAATTTCATAATATTTGAATTTCCATTTGTGCAAAACGGTCCCATCTGTTTTTTCTTCCCCTTTCACTGTATCTGCTACGACAGTTAATCTAGCACTCAATTCAGATTGCTTTGTTGAAAGTCTTTTCTGTTTGCTGATTTTGAATCTTTCTGAGATAAGTTTTGGATAGATTCAGTCCAAATCCTTATAGTTTTTCATCACAAAACTGTCTGTAATGTAGCACTTGGCAATGCGTGTGAGAATCTGAGAAATGACAGGAAGTGGTTGTTGTGACATTTGAAGGCCAGCCATCCCATCCCCAGAACATCACTATTCCTTTGAATAATATCAGAGGTTCAACCAGTTTTGGGCTCTATTTCATCAGCAAACAACATTTTAACAATCCATGTGTCAGACAATGGCCCTCTCAAAGGAGAGTTTTATTATCTCCACTTGACATTTAATTGCATTACTTCAACAAATTCTCCAACCATCAACACCCTTGAAATTGCCAATGACTAGAAAGCTAACTGAGCCAACTATGTAAATACATTGGTTAGAAGAGTTTCAGAGCCTGGGCATTCTGCAGTGAGTCTGTAGGTGGTGTGCCCATACTTCTGCCATTTTATTCTAGGTGATAGAGGTCATGAGTTTGGAATGTGCTGTCCAAGAACCAGTAGGGAATTGTTGCCATGTACTTGTGCAAATCGTTGTCACTCTGTGTCAATGGTGGGGTGAGTGTTCAAGGTGGTGTATAGGGGCCAATCAACAAGCTGCTTAGTCCTGAATGTCAGTGAGAATGAGTGTTGTTAGAACCACAGTCATCCTGGCGAGTGGGGAGTACTCCTTTACACTCCCAATTTATACTTTGATGACCTGCCTTTGACCTGTTCATGTAGCCACAACCTTTTTAATGGCAGGTTCAGTTTAGTTTCTGACAAATAGTCATCCCCAGGATGGTGACAATGGAGGCATTAACAATGATCATACTGCTGAGTCTCAAAGGCAAATAGTTGCATTTGCTCTTGTTGAGTTTGTTG